CGCTTAAGTTTCGTCAGAACGAAGTTACGGAAAATCAATTAACAAACGGAGACGTAACAATATGATCAGTTGATAATATATCATGATAAAGATTTTAAAAAAACTAATACGTTTTTCATCATGGCGCTGACAAGCAGTTGCATTTAAAGTATAAATAAAATGATAGATTTTACGCTATATAGGGTTTTTAATAATTAATATTTTGAGCCCGGCATGGGCAGGTGGTTAGGGCGCTTGACTCGCAATATGCGGGTTCGAATCCCCGTCACACCAACCATGCTTGCCCTTTTAGCCGTGGGGGCGTTATAATGTGACGGTCAATCCCACTATTCGTTGGTAAAGGAGTAAGATCGAAACAAAGAAAGTCTAGTTTTTTTAATGAGACGTGATTACTGTAAATAGATCTTGTTTTAACGTTCTTCCATTTTATTTGTTATTCAAAATATTATTTACTGTGACACAAGACTTATAACTACGTCTTTTGAAATCAACATCGATACACGATTTTTGTTGTAATTTTAATAAATAGAAACCGGTAAAGTTCTCCAGATAAAGAAGGAAGCACTTTTCTTTAGGAAATAGTGATTTTGTTAGCCATTTGCAGCGAATGAGGTGAATTAACAGAACTTGAGCACATTTCTCTAACTACAAGGGGAAAACAAATAGAAGACGAGGCTTAAGCGAATCTTTCATAAAACAACGAAATACGATCCTTGATAGCGAAATAGTAAGAAGCTGAAATACACTAAAACTAACGAATTATCTCTATTATTATTTTAAGTGGCTTTAATAATTAATATCAGCATTATTTTGTTCTTATAAACAGTACTTTCAAATATTCATATAAAATAATCTTCGCGAAGGTCAAGAATCGTGAAAATTTGCTCACTCTGTAACCACAGTGTAAACGTTAATTGGTAAAAATGGTGTGAAATGTAGATGGTCACCCTAATCGTTGAGAACACTGTTAATATAAAAATATAACTTTTATCGGCCGTACAAACAACAGGTAAATGCAGAACTTATATTTCGAGAATTTTTATATTCCAATGATTTACTTAAATATGAAAATATACTTCCACTATTAAATGTCCCATCCGCTCAATGCGTAAGAAATGTTAAACGGTTTGGTTTGTTACGAATTTCGCGAAAATTTACTAGAGGGCTATTTGCGTTAGCCCTTAGTAATTTTTAGTGATAGATTAGAGGGAAGACAGGTAGCCAACTGTCGGCCTACTCATATACCAATGAATGGTAGGGTTCAAAGTCACTTTATAACTCCACCCCCTATTGTTGAAGGGGTGATAAGAAATATAACAATTATACAAGATAAATAAAAAATAATGTAGACTTTATTTATTCAAACTACAAATCTCTCTTTTGGTGCCATGCTCTTACCTAGAAATACATTTGACGGAGTCAAAATATGGATTTGTAGTTTGAATAAATAATATGTACAGTATCTCCAGCCTAGCTTTTTGCAGATTTTTAAATTCCCATTTTTATATTTAACTTGTTTGCTGGCTTTTTTATGCTCATATTATACTGAATCGTGGTTCACGATATAGGGGATGGCTCCATAAAGACAACAATTATACAGTGTACAAAGCATTGAGTATTCTACATGCTACAGTAAT